ATAGATAGATACATCAGGAGGACTGCTGGGAGTTGCAGTCCAATAATAGGTAGAGGAGGAAGAAAGGGGGGAAAGCGGAAGGGGAAGAAAAGGAGGGGAAGGAAGAGAAGAGGAACTGAAGGAAGGAAGGATGGAGAGAAGGAAAGAAAAAAAAGAAAGGAAAGGAAGGAGAGAAAGAAAGAGGGAAAGCAAGAGGGAGGGAAGGTTGGCCACCATCCCCTCCTTTCAGTTGAATTGTGAAAGACAAGAGCTTGGTTCATCCATGGAGACCCTAAAAGAAGCATTGATCCCCTCTATTCTCTCTTTACCATGGCACCACTTCCTGTCTTTTTGAATGTGTGGATCAGGAAATGGCTAAGAGTGACTCGCTTCTAGAGATGACGCTCTCTTGACTTATCTATGAGTCATATCAAAATCCCTAATTTTGGCCTCCAAAACCACCCTTAACTTATACATGAAGTCTTCTTATACATGAATATACATAACTGCAGTGCAAATATGCCATAAGGTTTGCTTCTCCAACATTATATTTGAATACCAAAGGCAAATAGAAACAGAACAAAACCATGTCGATAACAATGAAACGAGAGCTAAATTACCTAGTTATTGTGGTTATTGTAAGAATTATTACACCCGTTTAAAATGAAGAAATATAGATAATGATTTTTAGCTTACTTTAAACAGGTGCCAAAAACCCTATTTGCAGTCCCAAACTAAAGTATGCCTATAGAATTAGATGTTAAATAAGGAATCAACACTAATATATTTATTCAAAAAAACTATTCCACCTAAGACTGCCAATAGTATTCAGGGAAGGATGATATTTACTTATTTATTTCCTGTATTTATTTACCTCCTTTCTCACCCCTGGGGGGGGGGGAGCCCCTGGTGGCACAGTGGGTTAAAACCTTGTGCTGGCAGGACTGCTGACCAACAGGTGAGCAGTTCAAATCCAGGGAGAGCAGGTTGAGCTCCCTCTGTCAGCTCCATCTCCTCATGTGGGGACATGAGAAAAACCTCCCACAAGGATGGTAAAACATATGAACATCCCTTGAGCAACGTCCTTGCAGACAGCCAATTCTCTCACACCAGAAGCAACTTGTAGTTTCTCAAAATCGCTCCTGACACAGAAAAAAAAACCCTGGGGGGACTCAAAGCGGTTTCCAATATAAGCATAGCAAAATTCAATACCAAGCCATGACCAGGTCTTTTGTGGGAGCATACATTGTATTAGGATTGCAATGATTTCACACAGACATGTTATCCTATTCTATTTTTTCAGTGTAAATCAAAATATGGTATTTATGTTGATCATTCCATTATGGAAAAGACAAAATGTTTTCATTCTAAAAGTTGAAGAGAATTTTTCACTGAAAGATGATAATAGCTGGAGAGCAAATTCAGATTGCAAAAGTAGAATATGGAAAAGAGTTCTACCCCCAGTGCCCCCCAGTACCATATACAACATGTAGCTTACATGTAAACAGAAGTTTTTACAAGTCAGATTGCTCAAAAATGACTAAAAAATGACTCAGAAAAGGGCTGCCTCTAGAAAATTACAAAGCAAAAAAAGAATATTACTAGAATATTGCAAAGCAAAAAGATGTAAGAAGCAACTACTAACTCGTTCAGTAAGAAGCACCTTTTACAATGTTAGAGTAAGAAGTGTGTTCTATGTTATCATTATTTTATATGACTTTTCGCTTTTCATAGATCAACTGAAGGCCAAAGCAGAGATTTTTAAAAATACCTAGTTGATTTCTCTATTTTTAAAACTAAAAAAAAGCTTGATTCAATAGCCTGGATTCTTAATAACTACTTAATAACTACTAGTGAGTTTAGACTCACTAGAATCCTGATCTGGATCAAAGGAGTCAGACCAGCAATTTATATTTCTAAATGAACTGAGTACAATATGGCACTAGGTTGCGAAGCAAGTGATAGATTTTAAGATTACATGCATGTTGTCTTATTCATAGTCCTGACTTAAAAGTGCTAACTGTTCTTAAAATTGTTCTGTATTCCAGGTGTGTTTGCTATTAATAACAGAACAGGTGTTATCGCTATCAGAAAACCTTTGGATTATGAAACGGTGAAAAACTATTTACTTCGTGTGCAAGCAGACTCATTGCAAGTGGTCCGTTCCAATTTGCCTGTTCCGTCTAAAAGTAAGTTCCTTTGTATATAATTGGAGATTTTTCTACTCTCTCTTCCAATCTGCTAAAATGAAAAGTTAACCCATCATTTTGTTCTCCTATTAATTAAAACTCTAGATATTTTGCAATCTTCAGATGCACTAGCAGGAGGAAAAGAATTATGCTACTGCATTTGAACTATTTTAATGACAACTCTAAGTTGCAAAACTTGCTGACCAGAAGGTCTGTGGTTCGAATCCGCATGATGGGGTAGGTTCCCATTGGGTTGTTGTAGGTTTTTCGGACTGTATGGCCATGTTCTAGAAGCATTCTCTCCTGACATTTCGCCTGCATCTGTGGCAAGCATCCTCAGAGGTTGTGAGGTTTTGAAAGTACCACTTTGTAAATGATCTCAGCAGAACTCAGTTGAAATTAAACTTTGATATGAAATGTTTATTACCATAAAAAGGAATATTCACATAATTAAACATTTCTCCAATTTAAAGATACCATGTAATTAATGGGAGTGCATTAATAGGATATCCCATATCTTAATGCTAGTACACTTATTTCATATAAATATAAACATATTTATTCTGAATTAGACATAAGGCAAAGCATTTTGTTGGCACAGAACATTATCACGTGTCGTTCCTAAAATGGGTTCTGTCACTGCAAACCCGTCCTGCTTGGACTGCCCAACCCCTCTTGTTATTGCACCAAACCTTTGTGAAAGCACTTTGAGAAAGCTCAAAGTACATTTAGCTTACTGCCGCTGCAAAGGTCTAAGTCCTCTTAAATTGCACATTCTCTGCCTTTTTGCATGTCCTCTTTATGTTTTTTTCTGTGAAAATTGAACTATTCCAAGAGTTCACAAACTCTCAAGATCCACCTGTCATTTTGTCAAAGGTTCTCAGCACATCTGTACTTCCATGTTTTCCACGTACCAAAACATCATCCGTATGAACACTTAAATATTAATTAAAACATAAATAAGCATTTTGCAATGAAAGTATTTTCTTATTTTGTGTCTTTTTACTTGGAAACCTTGACCTTGTTTAGTGAGACATAATCATGAGCTAGAAATTCTGTAAAACAGTCGTGCAAGCAAAGGAAACATTTAATTAAACTAGTAACTCCGTATCAGTGGCTAGATTCAGCTATGCCTCTGTGGAGTTACTCAAATTAAAATAATAATAACAATGTATTGCCAAAGGTTTTCATGGCTGGAATCACTGGGTTGTTGTAGGTTTTTTTTGGACTATATGGCCATGTTCTAGAAGCATTATCTCCTGACGTTTCGCCTGCATCTATGGCAAGCATCCTCAGATCTCACAACTTCTGAGGCTGCTGAGCATAGATGCAGGTGAAACGTCAGGAGAAAATGCTTCTAGAACATGGCCATATAGCTCAAAATACCTACAACAACCCAATAACAACAACAATGATGATGATGCTAACAACAACAGTAGTAGTAGTAACAATAATTAATGGAAATGATCAGGGAAAAAGGGGAAATTTATGGCTTTGCAGCCAGAGGTCTTCTCCGTCTACCTACCAGAAGTGGAAATGGCAGCATACTGGAAATAGAGAATTGCAGAGAATAGAAGGAATATCCACAGCACACCCAGCATAGACCTCACTGACTCCAAAGTAACTACAGAAGCAGCTTCAGATTTCCACATGACTGAAAAACACTAGGCCTGGGTAACAACGGAAAAATTTGTTTCTAAAATCGATTCGTTTTTTGGGGTTTTTTGCGTTTCGATATTTAAAAGAATTCCGATTTTTTTTAAAAAAAGTTCGATATTTACGAAATTTCGTAAATGGTAAAAAAATTACAAAACAATAACGAAACAATAACGAATCGATTCGTTAATGGCGGACGCGACCGCGCAATACGCTAAAAAACCTCCAAATGGGACAGGGGGAACTTCTGAAGCTTCCCTCTCCCTCTGTTGTTGACTGTTGGTGTGATATTATAATTTTTTTTCACTAATTAAACAAAAAACAACTATAAAACATGCCCCAGACATGCGGAAATAATAACGAAACGACCTCAAACCAATAACGAAACGAATACATAACGAAATACGAAGCATTTACGAAACGAATTGAAAAATTCGTTTCGTTTTTAAGTTGCTCCAGAATGGTTCGTTATCGCTTCGTTAACAAAAAAATAACGAATTTTTAACGAATTACGAATTAACGAAACGAAACCGCCCAGCCCTAAAAAACACTTCTGAAAACTTTTTGAACACATGCTCAGCAGCCCTATAAATGACTGCTTCAACACAAGCTACAAGTTGCTTTGCAGTGAGTTTATGATGAAGCCATGCAGGGATAGGTTTTTTCATTTGTGACTAGGGAGCCTCCAATACAGGTTACAAGTCTCATGTAATAATGTCCACAAGGACCAGCCTAAGGGAAGCTCACAAGCAAGACAGGAGCACAGTTTATACCTACCATTTAAGTTCCTCAACAGCTGATATTATTAAGTTCTAACAGAGGAGCATGTCTATCATATACCTAGGACTACAGACTGGACACCTTGGTACAGTAGGGTGGGATGTACATGGATTAGGAAGGGAGGAAGGGGACATTCACCTACCCAGCCAGATCAGCCAAATCAACACTGATGCTCAATGGGGTGATAGATGTTGCAACCAGGTCACCCTCACATCCAACAGCTGGTATTAGAAGGCATATTGCTTTAGATCAGTGCTTCTCAACCTTGGGTCCCCAGATGTTTTTGGCCTACAACTCCCAGAAATCCCAGCCAGTTTACCAGCTGTTAGGATTTCTGGGAATTGCAGGCCAAAAACATCTGGGGACCCCAGGTTGAGAACCACTGCTTTAGATACTGGAAGTAGAGCATAGTCATCAACATGAATGTCCACTGTTAGCGATCACTTGATAGAGGAATCAAACTTAGCATCCATCACAACTTCTTGGGAGATCAAATCTGATCATTTAGGGCAGTGATGGGCAACCTTTTGCGGTTGGTGTGTCAAAATTCGCCAAAAACCTGGGCATAACTTGGGTGGGGTGCCACTTCAAGAAAAAAATGGCAATATTTATAGGTTAAATAAGAAAAAAGTATAATCCATGCTGAGTTATAGAGTGAACAATGCTCAAATGTGCAAATGTTAAATTTGTAGAGCCTTTTACAAATTTAAGGATGGAATTAGTTTGGCTCTTATAAGGTGTACTTCTCTGTATCTGCGTGTCATCAAAAATAGCCATGCATGTCAGTGCTGACACGAGTGTCATAGGTTCACCATCACGGATTTAGGGTGTGCCTGAATTTTCCACAATTCAGCTTCAGTGACCGACCTCAATGTTCTAGAGGATATTTGAGATAATAAATCATATTTATAATTATTAAGTAGGATGGCTTCAGTCTAAAGATGTAGAGAGGTGTCAGCATAGAAACTATGGAACAAGTGCAATTTCTGGTCTGACTCAGTACAAGGAAGCTTGCTAAAAATATGAAGAAGATTACCCAGCTAGAAAACTTTCCGTAATAAAGCAAGCTACCAGATGGATAAGGATATAGATGGGAGCTCAAAGAAATAATGAGGCACAGCGTGTATCATGAGCAATTGTTTGAATTAATCCAGTCTTCTTATTTGTCTCTAAATCATAATAACCATGAACCAAAACATTAGGAGTCACAGCAACACATCTTATGAGAACATCAAAACACTTGGCTAATCAGCCTGCTAAATAATAATGAATTGCAGGGCAATTAAAGTAAATTTTGTGATGAAGACAACTTGAATGTTATTGATTTCATTTTATGTTTTGGCTTCAGGGCATATCCTTGTAATGCTTCTCATTTCCATAGGCGTTGTGCCAGAAATGATCCCTAAGAATGATGTGAGTGCATGCATTTCTTATTAACATTAGCATTCACCAAAAAAATCACTCACCTCTTAGTGCTGCCAGCGCTGACAGTAAAGAAACATACATTGACATTCCTTATTAATTCATTCAGCAACCCTGAAATACCACAGTGGATAAAAAGCTTAGGATGTTACTATGCCACAGAGCAGTCTGTGTGCATGCATGTTTCAAAAAGCGAAAGGCCAGATTCATATTTCCCATTTTCTAGAACATAACAGAGGCAGAGGCAGCAAAACAAATGTCACATGTTCCCTGTGTCATCCAAAGCATGTGTGTGTGTGTGTGTGTGTGTGTATAGCTGGAGTTGCACTTAAAAAATTGTACCTGTTCCGACTTACAAACAAATGCAACTTATGAAAAACCAGCATAAGCTATCTGGTTTTAACTTGGGGACTGCCTGTATTATGAATATATGGGGGTTTTTTTGTAATAAAAACATCTAAACCATAAAAATGCATATTGCACAAGGGGAAAATGACTATCTCTATGATAATGGACTAAATCTTCCTGATTTAAGAACAAATCTATATAAATAAAAATGTAATGTTCGTTTGTGGGATTAACATAATTCAAAAAACACTGGATGAATTGACATGAAATTTAGACACAATACACCTATCAGGCCAACGAGTGACCATCATAAAAACACTGAAAAACACAGCGGAAGGTACTTAAAAAGTAAAAAAAAAAACCAAAAAGATGCCAAAGCACATGCACAAAATGTCCCCTGGCAAACAGAACACAATGGCATATCCACACTCTCTTCCGGACTACAGCTCCCAGCATCCCCTAAACCAGGCGCTTTAGGAGAGGAGGATGATCCAAATGCACTGCTTCCAAGCTGCAAGCTTTCTTCTCCTAGGATTTATTTGAGAGCATCCCATTCCCTGCATATTTCCAATTTCCTATTCCTGGATTGCAACTCCCAGCAATCCTCCAGATAGATAGATAGATTAGACAGAGATAGGCAGGTGGGTAGACTGATCAGGAAGACTGCTGGGAGTTGCAGTCCAAGAAAAGGTAGAGAAGGAAGAAAGGGGGAAAAGAGGAAGGGAAAGAAAAGATGGGGGGATGGAAGGGAAGAAGAAGAGAAGAAAGGAAGGAGAGAAAGAAAGAAAGAAAGA